TCTACTCTATAAATGAATGGCACACACCCCTCCCAATTATTTTAAGTTCTTCTGAAACAGCTGTTCTTAGCCTATATTAGAATTATAAACACAGGACCCAATGGAATTTGATTGCATTATCATGCTCAGAATTGTGCTGCATGCCTCTTTTCAACTAGTTCTGCTTGGCTGATACAAAAAAACTACATACAACTGTATTTACAACTTTCTTTCATCTTCAGTATTCAATGCCCTGTGCTTTTATGAGTAAACACAAGAACACATCAATATAACTAAGAAAAATTATCTCTTGAAAAGCACCTTCACATTCTGAAATTGTTTTGATTTCTGGCATCAAGCAGAGGCTTGTGGGGGGGCAGAATTTCCAATGACTATACAACTAACAATGGACATATTCATAAACACAGGAAAGTAGGCATCTGCAGGAACCCTGGCATCTTGTATGAAGGCAGCATGCTCAATCACTCCTTACTGCAGTGCCCAGTGGCTAAATGAACCATAAAGCTTCCATGTTTAGATTACTATGTTGTGTTTTTTGTTCTGGTCCAACAAATCAGAGGAGAGCTTCCTCCTACCAAAGGACACAATAAATCAAGCAGAGTGGTTCTGTGCAAGGCCAATCATGCTGATTATTCACGATAAATCAGTGCTCCTGAGAGTTCTTGTCTTGTCAATTTAACAACGTTACAGTGCCTTGTGTGCCCAAAATTATGCAGTCTTTCAACACCTTGCAGAATGTATTTCAGGAGTATCTCTAGACTCAACATCACCTCTTAATTCCATTTGTTAATACGCTTAGTCCCACACCCATGCCAAAGCAATGAGTTAGGAAACTGCAACAGAAACAAGTTCTTGTAAAACAAAACTCCATGATCCTACCCATGATCTAGGTGTTAGAACAACATTCATATGAAAATCAGACTTAATGTCAAGACCTGCTTCATTAATTGTAACGTTAAAGTCATACCATCACAGAGGTTTCTTTTAATATGACTTTGGGTTTTTTTTCCTGTCTAGTGCTCTGTTTTACAATTCCCCTAACCATTAATCGATGTCTGCAAAGATAACATGCCTCTTAATAACAAAAATGTATTTAAATAAACATACTGAGAAAGATCTTAATCCTATTGTTCCTCTGCAGAAATATGTTTAATCAAATACATATACAGTATTATACAGGTTGAAATCCAGCAAAGTTACACCATACTGTATAAGCCTCACATCCCAACCATGACCATATTTTATTGATAAACTTTCTTGCTTTTCTCTCCAGATTCCCTCAGAATTCCTTTGGTCCTGGGGAAGCCTTTGGGGACAACAGGGAGTTTAAAATGTCCAGAATCACTGCTGCTGCTCCTACCTCAGCTACCAGAACTAGGAGTCACAAATTTCAGATATTTAAGATTCTATTCCCTAACGTCTCACTGTCACCAAAAACATCCCCAGGACCACAGGGATCCTAGGAAAAGGGGTGGTGTTGAATTGAAAATATTTGATTAATAGCCGACGGTAGTACGTTGAATCTTGCCAGCATAAATGCTCTTCTGTACTGGGCGTCAGTTAGAAAGGAGAAATAGGGAGTTAAGAGCCCTGGCTTCACGGATAGGCCCAAATGACTAGGGGAACAAGTTTTCCGAGCTGCCTCGGTCAGATGTTGGAATTGGATGTCTAACAGTCTGCGTTTGATTGATTGAAGTATTGCTTGACTAGAGGACAGGTGGAATGTATCCAGGGAAATTCCTAAGGACATGATTTTTTTCTGAATCGTGGTCAACCATTGGGAAGCATGATGATCCGTCAACATCAAAAAGGTAAGAGTTCTGTTTGGAGTTGAATAAAAGGCGGAGCCAGAACTTGAAGGTCGAAAGCCAAGCACGGGTTTCCAACAATAGCAATCCCGTTTCTATGCACATAGCGGCATAGGGGACACAATTAGGCAATCCGAGTATTTTGCTCAGGAAGGCAGATCGTAAGCCTTCGATGGTGCGAAGGCTTCAATCCATATGGGGGCACCATATAGGAGTTGGGAGCAAGATTTCGCATTGAAAGCTCTTAGAGCCATAGGGACATATCGGTTCCCTTTCAGATAGAAAAAACAGGCAATAGCCGAAGCACTAGTTCTTGCCAGTGATAGAGCGCACTTGCGGTGGGTTAGCAAGCTCCCATTGTAGAAAAAATGGATCCCCAGGTATTTGATTGATTTGACCTGCTCAATAACGCTTCCCTGTATTGACCATGAGAGTGGTTTCCATGACTTAGAAAAAACTAAGATCTTTGTTTTCCTGGTATTCAATGTTAGATCGTTAAGATGAAGGTAAGACATAGTTTGACGTAATAAATGCTTCAGTCCAACTTGGGAGCATGACAATACAACAGCATCATCCGCATATAGGATGGGAATATGGCGGTGAGCAAGTTTAGGGGCGTGCCCATTGATTGTGTATAAGGCTGGGGCTAGATTGTTTAAAAATAAGTTGAAAAGTGCTGGAGCAAGAATACAGCCCTGTTTCACGCCTTTGCAAATTGGAATTCCCGGAGTTAAGTTCCCCTGAAGATTATACCTGACTTGGCAACTAACTAGTGGAAGAGTATAGGTTTTTAATCAGGAAGAGCAGTCTGGGATCTATATTCAACCTGGCCAACTTGGCCCACAGCAATTCTCTCGGGATTGAGTCAAATGCCGCCTTAAGGTCCAAAAAGGCAGCGAAGAGTTTATTAGAGTCCCACTTAATCTCAGACGATGCCCCTGTGGTCAAGATGCCATCGAAACAGTTTCTCACGTTCTCTTGGACTGCCCTTTCTACAACAGCTTGCGTGCAAGATTTCTAGAACCATTGCTCTCCAGTTTTCAAGGACGCTCCGATAAGGCCAAGGTTTGCTTTTTAGTCCAGGGGAATATAAACCATGTCACTATGTCGCTCGCTTTTTACATACCGCGATTCAAATCAGAGAGACCATCCCCCAGGCATAGTTGAATCACTCTCCCAACGTAATCTGGTCATGGCTCTATTACTCTCCACAGCTTTTTTTAATGATTTAAGCTTTGCATTAAGCATTCCTAATCTACATGATGCAGTGGTCTACAACTACTGTATACCTTGAAACTATGTAATGCTTTATTCTGCCCGCATTGAAGCTTTTTGATCTGCTTCATGCAGGGTATATACTCTCCATCTATCTGAGGACCCCTGCTTGCTGTATGTTTTATGACAATAAAGGTTATGATGATGATGATGATTAATAAAATATGGCTGCAGTTGATGACATCATCAGGTTTAGGCAGCATAAATTTATGTTACTGGATTGCAGACACGTTGTTATTATTTCAGTTAAATAACAAAGAATTTAAATGGCTATTTTTATGGTGAATATTTTTTCCTTCCAATAAAGTAAAATAAAAGTTGTCTAAATATAAATAGTTAACCTACAAACTAGAATTAGTTTATCTTGCAATGATTTCATAATTATTTCAAATACTAAATATCGAAACAATAATAAATTTTCAAATAAACTAACCTGAAAAGTTATTATTTTAGAAAACCGAAATCTTCACCTAAACTTAAATATTAAAGTTATAACAACCAGCAAAAACAAGCCCTTACTTAGAATACTATGATTTAAATCAAGGCTTACTGACTAGCTATTTAAATTGTGATTTAAATCATTTTTTTGTTTAAACCACACCCACCCTATTTATATATTAGCACAATTTATATATAACTACTGGTAGACAAGTACTTAAAGTTGTACATAACATGACTAGCAATGCTAACTTCAAAAAGAATTATAACTGTTTTGTGAAGAATAGGTTTAATGTATATGCAATGCAAATAAAAATAATTTGAAGAACATTTTAGATTTGTGCAAGATTTTGGGAAAGTCAGGAGCAATTTCTAATGTCTTTTAATTTACAAGAAATAAATCCCACATCAAAATGTTTCCATGCTTAAAAGCAGCTTGCCACACAGCTGTTGTGTCAACGTTTCTCTGTGTGGGAAATATATATTCTCAAATGATGTAACTTTTAATGTTTGAAACTCAGGTTTCTGTAGACCACTGCACCTGAGTTGGTTATATCATTATGTTTTTATGGGAACAAAGTGGGTGGAGGTTGTGGGGTTTTGCTTGCTTGTACAGCACCTAGAATACTGTGAATTCACTAACAGGGCGGTATATAAATTAAATAAATATATAAGATCTGTTTCTCAACTCACCTACCCTTTTTTAACATTTGAATTTAGATATGCAAGGCAGTTTATAGCAATAAATAATGATTTTATAAACAATTCATCCCATTTTCACAAAACTGAAGTAATAATTTTCAAACTTTTTTTAACTTCAGACATGGATGGCAATTACAATCACATAATTATATTCGTTGTCCTTTATCTCACACACGGAAATCTGAATGAAAATTTTATTTATTTATTTGATTTATATCCCGCCCATCTGGTATATTTATACCACTCTAAGGTATCTCCTTAGCTTCTGAGCGATTCAGTTGATGAAGAAATGCAAATTAAAGCTATATTACACACACTTCCTTACAAGTAAACCCCACCCCTCCCAAATTAACGGTGCCTACCTGCAGATAAGCATACCCTGAGTATTTGTTTTAATTCGAAGTAGCCCTCCCGAACTCAGCGATGCTTACCTCTAAGCGAGAATTTTAAGGCAGGCTGGAAACCAAGCAGTGAACTGAACAGAGATAACTAAAGCGAACTAGAAAGATACCGGGACGATGGATGTACTCTACATTTGTACAACAGGTCACCCCAACAGAGTATACAAGTCGGGCGTGAAATGGGAAGAAACACAGCTTGCCTTAACACAAAATCGCACCCATCAAGGAAACCCATTCCCCACTATCTTAAAAAGCGCCATTTTCACCTCCTCTAACGTTTGGCTGCTCCTGTCAGCCCAAATCCCCACCACCTCCGTCTTATGAACAGATTCCCCGCCAACCGTTACACACAACTAGGAAGGCCCTGGTCGCTCACCTGGTCACCGGCGGCAGCTTCTCCAGACATGGTGGCTCAAACCAGGCCCAGGGAGGGGGAGCGTAGGAAAGAAGTAGCCTCAAATGTATGTCTGTTTGTTTTTACCCACCCCTGCCACCTTCCCTTCACAAAATCCCTGGACAATTAGCCAGCCAACCAGCTAGCGAAGGAATTTTCCTCGCGTGCCTCCTCCGCTCCTCCAAGGAACAAAATGGCGGCTAAGCCGTGTCTCCCCCCCCCCCTCGCCGTCTCGCCTCCCTCAGCAACGAAGGAGGCGGGGCCGAATGGGAAAACGCGAGTATTGCAAGGACTGCTGGGAAACGGAACTGGAGCAAAGAATGGGCGCGAGCAGTTAAACAACTACAGTAGTAGAATTCAAGCAGCAGGGAAGGCAGCGCGAAAAGGATTCTGGGAATGAAATACTGTAACTAAACTAAGGACGAAACAACAGACATGCGCAGAAGCTCAACGAAAGGAGGGGATATGGAGGGGCGGGGAATGCTTGAATTTTTCGTCACTGTCTGGTAAACGAGGGGCGGAAATTACGAGTGCAGGGTATGTTTCACGAAGCACGTGGAAGAATCACATGTTTCTGGGAACTTGCGTTTTCCTGTACTATCGCATCTGTTTTGTTGTCCCTTTATTTCTCCGTTATTGGTACCTAACCTTTTTTGTAGCAGATCAGATGCAGTTTTCGAAACTAAGCCTGTTTTCTTCTCATTACTCAAGGAGCAGTCGTCATAAAGGAGCAATTCCGTAATAGTTCTGGTTTGCTTATAGGATGAGTCTCACAAAACATTTTGAGTGGGTGTGTGGGGGTGGTTGTTTTTTTTTAAAGAATATCGATACCCGTCCTGAATTGAGGAACTGGATAGACATATAGGAGGATTTAACAGGGGTTAGAATGAATAAGGCAGTGTCAAATTTTATCTTCCTGGGCTCCATGATCACTGCAGATGGAGACAGCAGCCCTGAAATTAAAAGGCCTCACAAAACATTTTGAGTGGGTGTGTGGGGGTGGTTGTTTTTTTTTAAAGAATATCGATACCCGTCCTGAATTGAGGAACTGGATAGACATATATGAGGATTTAACAGAGGTTAGAATGAATAAACAGAAGCCTGGTGAGATAAGAGAATTGGTCTCCTTGGGATCTGAAATTAGAAGTAGGAGAAAATTAGTAACTCTTATAAAGAACCAGACTCTTGCAGGGATCTGTTGGAGACTGTACAAGCATAAATACTTCTTCCTTTACTCATAAATGGTAATGGAGTTAGGCATGAGCAGACTAGTGGCCAGTTTTATGGGTAATACCAAACTTTTCAAGAAGATGAAACAACAGAACTTCAAAAGAATCTTTAAGCTTGGTAAATGCAGAATAAAATTTGAACCACCTGGTTGCTCTTTATCATACATAGAAGGTAGTACTGTGGAGATAGAAATGTATAGAAAAAAGTGATCCAAAAAAAATGATTGGCTGGGGTGCCTTCATTGTAAGAAATATCCGAAACAGGTATGACTGCTAGATATAGAAAAGAGGACTAAGGACTTATCTACACACCTGTTTTGGAGGAAGCTGGAGCAAGCTAAACAGGATGACTAGGAGGTTTGGTATGATGGTGCAATCCTTGCATCCAAATAGAATAGAGATCTCAAGCAACCCTGTTTGGCCTGCTGTCAATTTGCCAATATTTTATAGTTGGTTAAGATGAGAGCCACTTCAGAATATTGGCAAATTAAATACTTCCTTGGCTCAGTGGAGAAGCTGAAGTAGATGTTTTTAAAGTGTTTTAGGCCAGCACTTTAAAAAAATAAAAGCTAAGTGGGAAACTTCTTTCAAGAAGCAGCAGGAGACAGGAAGGGGCAATGAGGACGATATCTATTTACTTTTCTACTTGAGACTCAGAGCCGTTCAAGAAAAGCAAGCAAAAATTTCCCCTCGTGCTTTTCTATCTCCTGTTTCCAGGAGTCAGTTTCCCATTGAGGTTTTACTCTTTAAAAGTGATGCAGCCTATACCTGCTGCCCTTGTCAGGAATGCCCCTCCTAAAAGGATGGTATTCCACTAGGGGAAGGTGCCAATTCTAGTTCCTAATTTTCACCACTCTTTGAATCCTAGGCTGAGGTGAAACCTAGAAGGTGTGTGAATGGGCAACTACCTGTACAGGCAATTCTCTATCCCTAGATTTCTACTTATCCCCTTATTCTGGGACAAAATTCTGTTGGCTGTGTATTTTAAGCTGTACACACCAACCTGACCAGGAAGGAAACCCAAATAACAAAAAAGCCAGCATAGCCCGGTGGCTAAGGCACTTCCTTTAGACACGCAAACTCTTGTTTGTCCAAGGACCACATTTGGGTAAGATATAAAATAAGAGTTATTAAACAAGATTAAAAAGGCATAAAACATTAAAAAGAAATACAAATTGTACTGTTAGAATGTCAAACCCCTGATTAGTGGACCTTTTGGAAGCAAATCTCCAATAAAAAAATCTGCTAACTAGTCCATAATGGCTTTACTACTTAATTACAGTTCTGTGTTACCATTGCTAAGTCTCTCAACCAATCATTGAAGGCTGCAAGACTTGTAACTCTTACTTCCTTCTCACGCATACACACACTTCAACTCAGGCCTCCCTTTCTACAACTTAAAGTCTCTGCATCATGATGGTATCAGCTTAAAGGTCTTTGTTCAGAAGTCTACACCCCAAACTTGTAATTTTCCAAAGTACAGTCTCTCTTTCCCATATTGGCAAGCAATTAAGATGGAATCTGGTGTTTATGACTCTTGGACTGCAACCTTGAAAAGAGTTCTTGGCAAACAAATTTGCTTCCCAGGCAGAGAAACACCACCTGTGCAGACTCTGAACAACAAATCCATTTCTTCACAGCTCTAATAAACTTATTTTAAAATTTCACTTTCTAAGCCCCTCTATGGAACTAAGGAAGTGTTTAATTTTCCAATATCCTGAAGTGGCTGTTTTAAGACACTTCACGATATTGGCATTTAGCAGGAAATTTAATTTTCCAATATTCTGAAGTGGCTCTTTTAAGACACTCACGATATTGGCATTTAGCAGGAAGACTTGCTTTTTGTTTGTTGTCAGTGATAGCACATGGTGGAAATGGGCCAAAACAGAGCAATTCTATCCACACCAAAAATAAAAATAAAAAATGGAAACACTTAATGGGCCAGAAAGATGTGGGTAGAACTGCTCTGGAGGCAGGTTGATTTGCTCTAGTAAAGATGTTGTCTGATTGCCTTCTTTATAAATGAACCAGCCCAATCCCTGCAGCAGACAAAATGGTGGGCTAAATGCCTGTGTAGTCAGCCTCTAAGTAGACATTGCAGATGTTTTCAACATTATATATAGTGCTCCCTTAGTGTTGTTAGTTAGAGTCATTTCCTGAGGCTGGCTTCCATTACCTTCAGGACAGGTAAAAGTACTTCATGTAATGCAATAATTAATTTTCACAGGTTTCAGCTGTAGTATTTGATAATGACCACTAATTCGGGGGGGGGGAGGTTAGAGAAATTTGTGATTGATAAACATTTAAGTCATAATGGCTATAAGGAAACCCCAGAAATAGGAAATACACTGTTTAATATACTACTTCAGTCTATGGAAACATCAGAGAAAAAGCTGATTTGTTCCCATGTTCTATTTGGGAATCACATAGATTACATGCACCTCTGATGTGAACCAGGAGATCTGCTAGTATTTTTTTTTCCTTCCAAGGTTGTAGGGTACACCTTCCAAATGTGGCTGGGTCTTCATGCATCTGATGAAGAAGACTTTATCCCATGCAGGCTTATGCATTAATATATGCTCTACTTTTTACAGTAGCACAAAATACCTCACTTTCTGTATTTTTATGCAATCTTGTTAAATAGATAATAAACTCACCCCTCTGTGAAGTGCCTATTTATTAGACTTACTCCCAACTGTCTATTGTTCACCATTGCTTATCCTTGTCTGGATGTGCAGAAAGAACAGTGTGAGGGGCTCTGTGGTATTGCTTATACATATGAAAAGCTTCTTGTGATCTCAGCTACTAAAATGAATTAGTACCAGTATATGTGAATATAAGGTTTGATTTGAGGGTGGAATAGGACTTTGTACCTTTTTTGTTTTGTGTTCCTAGTGCCAGGTTCTACTTTTGGGCCACGTAAACTAACTAAATAAATACACCCATCTGTCAGCAAGCATATGCACTTATGGGCAAGGGGTTTTGGTAATTGCTTTATATTTCAGGCAAGCTTGAATTGGGAAATATTGTAATATAGATTATTCTTAATGGGCTTATACAGCCTGCTTCTGTGCAAGCCTAGAGGGGGGATAGCTGCATTGGAATTGCATGGGAATGCATCTTGGCCACAGAAGGTGAAGGACAGGGCTGTTCTTCTTAGAACAGTGGATCTTATTTTTAGAGGCATTCTAGAAGTGTTATACAGAGTCTGGCAGAACACCTTTCAATTTACATTTTGTATGTAGAACATAATTTGTTGTGTTGGGAGCTGTCCCTTAAGTGTATAGGGACATGACTGAGGAGTATAGCTTGCATGACACTAGATGTATTCACTGGGATGACCAAAAAATATACATCAGAGCATGCTAGGAAAAGCTTTATGTAAGCAGTAGAGTACTGCTCTGTAAGCCTGTCCAGACAGCTATATAGAACACTGGATCGGAGTTGGTATGGTTTGGTATAAAACCAAATTACAGAGTCCACACATGTTTCTACTTAAATCAGTCCATCTTGCCTCTCTAAGAGCTGCTCCACTCCTTTCTGGTAGATAGCTAAGGTTTTTTGTTTTTTGGTACGATTCAGTATGCTCCTGATTATCCCATTGTGTAGCCCTTGATGATTGCTAGTTCACACTCTAATGGAGCAGTGGGTGGCATTAACCCTGTGACATATTAGATGGGTTGTGACATTAAAAGACAGTAAGGGAAAAGCCTTCCTCTATTTTCATCTTTTTTTAACGTAATTCTGTACGTGATACAGTGAAATTCTAATACCATGCTAGATTGATGCACTGCTGTTTCAATATGCCACTTTTTTTATTTAAACAACAAAAAAGGAAAGTCACCACTGCCTACAGAATATGGGGAAAAGTGGGGGAAAGGACTAATGTGGGCCATTCTCAAGGGAGAATAAACATCTCTGGTATAAATGGAAAGATTGCTTAAGTAAGAGATAAAATAGATTGCATTGAAGATGAGAACCTTTTAAGCATGTCCAGACTTTTCCA